AACTTGCTTATTATGTTGTCAACTCTGAAGACGGGGTCCCTTATTGTACATTTCTGTGTCTCTCGCATAATTCCTTTGCCCCAATAATTGTCTGATGTATCAATACTAGTGGAAGGAAATTTTCAGTGAAAATATTTTGCATATTGAAAGTGAGCCACATAGATTTCTAAGACCTTACTTCCTGAAGTAACATTCTTTCTGAACAATTAGGTAGTAAGTGAAATGAGGAATCTAATAGCAGCAGGCAGGTGTAAGTATCTGTAATATGTGGCTGGAGAATCTAATCAAGCCTAAATCAAGCCATGGAGTAAATTTTCCGTTTTTCAGCTAATAGATTCAAACTGCTCCCACAAAGTGATCTGTTATCTCCATTTCTCCATTTATACTTTGACATTTAAGACATTAGACCATCCATATAATATATTACTCATGCTAATGCATAAGCAAGCTGGCCTCCCTTTGCCCAACACCTGACACTTTTTTTTAAAGAATAGGATTGAGTTAATGGATCAATGTTAATGTGAGTTGATTTTATTGATTTTGTGCTCAAAGTTGATTAGTTGTGAAGATAGGTGTCATGCTTTCATGTTCCCTTCTCTGACTTAAATACCCAAGTATGACTCATACTGAAGCTGATGTCAGCAAAACCTTTACTCTCTGAGGATGATGTAAGTGGTATTACAATGATTATTATATTTACTACTTTTGTTGCCTTGTGATGGAAATTTTATTTCAAAACAGCGAATTTTGAAAATCATGCTTTTGTAATATAAGCCTGGGTGGACTTTGTGTCATATTATCTCAATTGAATTTTTTAAAAAGGCATTAAATGAGTGTGAGCTTTATTTGAAAATTATATTTTATACTCAATTCTTCTCTTCTTCCTCTCTTCCCTTTTTCCTCCTCCTTCTTTCTTTTATTCATCTTTCTCCTGTTCTTCACTAAATACTCAATTGTTAGTAAATTTTCTCTTCCATAGATTAAGAATATGATTAATAAAGAAAATTATTTTTTTTTCAATTCAATAGTTGTGATGCATATCAAACATCAAATGGGACAATGGAGACTCTTCTGCCTGGCCTATATATAAGCCTTTCAATTCAGGGCTTTATTTTTTTCATTAAGCCTACAAGCATTTATTATATATCTATTGTGTACCAAACACTACTGTGGGGAATACAAAAATGAGCTGGAGAAAATACATGTCCATCAATGGCTGTAACACAGGCAGAATGCAGTATGGGAAAAATACCAACAGGATCTGTAGGAGCTGAGGGAAAGAGAAAACTTTACAAAGAACCAGCAAAGACTCCATGTAGGGGTTCTTGGCCAATTTTATCCCATGGGATCCCTCTGGAAGTTTGATGAAGCCAATAGATCCAAGTCAAGGCTTTAGAAAGCCCTGAATTATTTTGTCCTGAATTGAAGCTGGACAAATGAATGCTAGTCTCAAGTCTGCTATGAGCCAGCTGTGTATCCTTGTGCCATTTTGACTTTTGTGCTTCGGGCTTCTCATTTAAGATGGAGAGTATTCTATTTTCCCAACCTATGAAAATTATGAGGGCTATTGTGTCTTGGTATCTAAGTACTTAGGAAAGCTAGGTGTCCACATTGTTATGGTTTGGATGTGAGATGTCCCCCAAAAGTTCATGTGTGACATAATGCAAGAAGTTTTGGAGGTGAAATGATTGGGTTATGAGAGCCTTAATCTAATCAGTGCATCCCCTGAAAGGGATTAATTTAGTGGTAACTGTAGGCAGATAGGGTGTAGTTGGTGGAGTTGAGTCCCTAGGGTCATGCCTTTGGGGTTTATATTTTGTCCTTGTTGAGCAGAGCTCTCTCTGCTTTTTGGAGCAAGGTCCTGAACCACTTTCCTCTACCACAGTCTTCACCGTGATATTCTGCTCTCCCTGGGCCCTAAGGAATGGAGTAGGACATTTATGGACTGAGACCTCTGAAACTATGAGCCCCAAAATAAATTTTTTCCTCCTCCCATTGTTCTTATCAGGTCTTTTGGTCACAACAGCAAAAAAAGCTGATTAAAACACACATATGTTGGGCTGGGGATGTGGCTCAAGCAGTAGCACACTCCCCTGGCATGCACGGGGCTCTGGGTTCGATCCTCAGCACCACATACAAATAAAATAAAGATGTTGTGTCCACCTATAACTAAAAAAATAGATATTAAAAAATTCTCTCTCTGTTTAAAAAAAAAACACATACACATACGCAATGTGAATTTTTCTATGTTTGTGAGCCAGTAAAATATGGGATGGAATCACACAAGAAATCTGATGCCAAACAGCTGCATTATAACATGAATATATTTGAAACCATTGTGAGTTTGTCAGAAGCATAAGAACTTTGCCTTTCTTAGAAGCTCCCCAAAGGAGGTTTTATCCAAAGGCTTTTTTGAAAAGCCTGGCTGGAGTTGGCGAGGCTTGGGTTGGTGGAGGGTAGGTAATTGTAACAGCCACCCCCCTAACAATCTTCAAGGCTTTGTTATCCTACATTGAGACATCATGTAAAAATCATCCATTTAAAACTAATTATTTTATTATATGAAGAATAATTTCTCAACTCAGTCATTTCTCCTTTCTTATTCATAAATTTTTATGGTTTTGTTACTTTTTCAAAGCTTCTGCATGCTAAACTTCGCTGTCTGTCACAATTGATTTCTTCTTCCTGTTCCTTCTTCTCTGTCCTTTTATATCTTTACAAATCCTATGAATGTTCCTCTTTATGTCTTTTTTGCATGCAGTAGAAGCAGAACTGGGGTTTGGCTAAATTCTCATTATTTCTTAAGCTCTCTACCATGAACCATGGGGAGAAACAGAGAGAGAGATATACTTGATCTTTACATTCAGAAACCTGTGATCTACTGGGGAGAGCTAGCTGAAATCTATGAAGGCACAGGCAGGTCAGGAAACAAGTACACAATTCCTTGTGACCATTATCAGAGGGACATCCAGGGTTGAAGTTTACAGTACTCATGACCAAAACTAAAAGCAGCTACTCAGGGGTCAAGGACAGTCTCGAACAAGAAGATACAATAGAAATCTTCAGGGTTAAGGAGGTAGCAGGTGGTAAACAATGAAAACACACCGGTGCATCAAAGTTAGAGTCTCTAGGTTGTATTAAACCAAGGTCTAAAACATTAGCTTGAGGTCTGTAGTGGGGCTCAAAGCCATGTATCCTTCATTATTGGATCTGCTATATAGACCATATACAATGTGCCTATTGAATGAATAGTGTCAGCTAGAGACTGAGTTGCTTGGATGTGGCCATCAAATCACTCTCACAGCACCTACTGATTCTCCCATCCTAGCATATAAAGTGAATTAAATTGAAATACTCTGTTTCAATGTATCTTACTCCATCAGACTTTGAGCTTCATGAAGTGATGGTTTCAGTCTTACTTGTCTCCCCAGTATCCAAACTGTATGTGTTTTGTATTGCTAAGTAGTTTAAAGCAAGGCTTTGAAGTCAGATAGATCTGTATTTGTTTGGATTTGTTGGTTTCCTTCTGGGCAATTTATTTATTGTCTCTGGGTCTCAGATTTCTCATTTCTAAAATAGCGATGACAATAATACCAACCTCTAAGGATTTGTTGTGAGGGTAAAATGTGATGACAGATTTGGAAGCAGAGTACCTGTCACAGAGTAAGCATTCAATCAATGATTGTCATTAAATGATTGTGGAATGAATAGGTGAGAGACAAGTGGGTTGAAGAAGGGTGTTAGTTTATTTGATGAGGTTGGGACTCAGGACTGGGAAGATGCTTAATAAGAGCGACCCGGGCAGTCCTCCAAGAGTCTCTCCCTTCTCTGAGCATCTCATAGATGATTGGAAGGCTAAAACAATGGGGATAATCTTTAAGCATTTCTCCCTTTGTGTAAAGCTTGCAATCATCTTGACTGGGAGAACAGGGACTGAATAGACCTTGGGTGGGGGTGATGTTATTAATATAAACAGTTTTCAAATGTAACATATTGCTCTCTGCACCCGGCAAGCTGTTGTTAGTTTGTGAGCACTATGTCTTTGGAAAGCCATTGCTGGCAGCTTGAATGGGAAGCTTAGAACAATTAGAGGCTTTGAACACTTACAAGCTAAGGATTTGGATAAGCATGTTTTGACTCTATAGCTTCTCCTGGGGTTTCCCTGATGTGTGCTGGACTAATTATCAGTTGTAATTAGAAAAGCTGAGAAGTGGGGAGACTGCAGGGAGCAGCATACTTTCCCAGGGACCCTCATTTATTTCTGCAGAAAGGGGGCTGGGGAGACTGTATTGTGAAGAAACAGGCATGCATAGGGTGCTCGAGGACAGGAAGGTACTGGGAACATGGTTTTACAGGAAAGACTCAAATCTACGGGATCCATTGCTCCTGATGAAGTTTCAAGTGGTCAGCAGTTTTCCCTTCTTAGATTCTCAGTGAGCAATGATATTCTGGGCCAAGACCAGGTTCTAGGCTCATTATAGCCAAGGTCCAATTTTTGTAGGTACAAAGCAGTCAAGAAGTGGTATCCTTTAGAGCTCATGTACATGAAGAGAGGAATTTCAACTTCTGGATCAGCTCCAGGTTTTATCCACTGCAGGTTGCAGAAAATATTTCTCATGTGCCTTAGCCTAGATCCCTGGCTCCAGAATTGGGCCAACAATAGTTTGTATTTGAAAGCCTGAGAAAAAGTGACATTTGTAGGACCAACTGACTTTACTTTGGTAGGGGCCATTCCATTTAGATATGGTTCTAATCTTACTTTAGATGCTATGGAAACAAGACTACCATACATGAAACATAGAAAACAATAGCACTTGATCTTCACTTACTGTGAATCATAGTGCAGACTATGAGTGTGATAGGTGTTTTGAGGAAAAGGAGCTCCCTGGTTGAAAGAGACAATGGCTTTCATGTGAAGCTTTCCACACTGCCAACATGGCATGAAGTTCATTGTCACAAGAACACCAAATACAAATCTAGTGTTTCTGTTTTCTCCACAGGTAACCTGTCTTCATGATTTCTTTGGTGATGATGATGTTTTTATTGCCTGTGGTCCTGAAAAATTTCGCTATGCTCAGGATGATTTCTCCCTGGATGAAAATGGTAAGCACAACCATTGGGTTTTTAAATTTTGTTGGTTTTGCTTTTTAGCCATTGGGTTTTATTGCCCTATTTTTCTCCTTACTTCTATTCCTTACGATTTACATGAGTTTATGTTGGCCTGGAGAACATCCAAGCATGGCCCCTCAAGGGCAGATACTATTAGTCTTTCTCCTATATATTTGAATACATGGGCCACTAAGTGAAAGTATGTCCCAGAAATCTAGCCTTCAAACTCAATAAGACTCACCATCTTCCATAATAGTGACCATATTTCTGGAAATGCATATTGTGTCATATGGGCTAATAGATACCATTAGACTGCAGGAAGGAAAATTTGGAGGAAGAAGTTGAATCCCATGTATACACTTTTTTTCTAGGTAACATCCTCCAGCTATTTGGTCCATGTTAATGGGCTCATTTTAGAAAGGTTTTCCCATGATATTCTTAGTCTCAGACCCTTTCCCCACCTTTGAGTTTGCTGTAATGTTCACCTTACTTTGTGATTCAGGATTCCAGAAGAATCATCTCAGGAAGGACCTGAACATGTATCTCCTTTGGTTAAGCTGCAGGTGTAAGATAAAGGTGACTTAGCTCACTCAACAACAGGGTTAGGATATGATCTTGATGGAAAGACACATTCAAAACATGTTTTCCTTTTAAGAGGAGTAAAGTATTAAAAAAGCAAAGGCAGTTTTACTAATATAAACTTTACAAACAACTCAAGTGACAAGAACCCTAAAAAATAGTATTTCTGCTGTTGTTCCTTTGAGAGGAGGCAAATGATCAAATAGCTAAATAAATACAGGTTATGTGCAGTTTCCTATGGCTTTCTACATCTCTAACTCTGGGCAGTGATTACTAAAGTTCATCAACCAAACAAGAAATGAAGCAAACAAAAATGAGCTTTCCACTCAGTTCAGTTTCCTAATAAGCTTGATTTACCAGAATAGCTCCCAAAATCTTTATGGTTAATTTACATTTCAGTGCACCTTTAAATAGCAGGCAAAAGGAGGTGTCTAAAAGAAAACACTATCCTCTACCCATCTGTATGATTCCACTTTTCATAAGGCTTAAGTACTTTCTACCTTCCTCAGCAAAATGAATAGAATGATCCTCCTAGTAAATCAGCACTATCAGTGCCCAAGTTTACCATAACAGAGGAAAGTAAGTGACCTGTCTAGAAAGAGTGCTACAAATATGTCAGATTGGGGCTGGGGTGAATGCAGGAATATTTGGCAGACTGTACTATACTCCTATGAGCATTCTGAAGTTACAAGGGGCAGTCATTGATGACTCATTTATTCGTTAAACAACCATCATAAAGGGATTATGATAACTTGCATTGAAAATCAAAAAGAGCTCTGTAAATGTAAGATGGTGGTGGTGGTACTTATTCATGTAAAATGACAAAACATTCGTAATGTGCCATTACAAAGTGTGGTATATAATAGACAATAATCTTACTGCTTATCCTGCCTATAAATTACTCATGGATGTTTCATCTGTGTAACTATAACCTCTGAGATGTCAACCTCTACTCCAAGGAAATGAATTAAACATTATATCCAAAAGTACTATTCTGAGACATGGCTAAGTCATCCTCAAATGACTGACTTGACTTATTACTTACTTGACCTGCTTCTAAACTCCTGTCCTTGTTCCACAATCTAGAAATTTAAATGCCTTGTTTAGCCCAGGTGACTTTTGGAAGTTTTCCTCATGCATCTCTCTTCAGGGACATAATTCCTACAAACAATGAAGACTGCCTTGTAGTCCTGAACCATTTAAGTGCTTTGGCCTGTGCTGTTTATCCCATTTTCCAAAGGCTGGTATAATATGCTGAGCCTGAGTTTTACCCTCTGCTAAGCTCTCTGTGTCCTTTTGCCCAGAATGCCGAGTCATGAAGGGAAATCCGTCAGCCACAGCTGGCCCAAAGGCATCTCCAACACCTCAGAAGAGTTCAGCCAAGAGCCCTGGCCCTATGCGCCGAAGTAAGTCTCCAGCTGATTCAGGTAACGACCAAGACGGTGAGTGCTCTTTTCTTAACTGTGCACGCTGACTTCATTTATGGAGGCCAATACCTTCTGCATGCAGAGAAATGAATTACTCATGATCATCACTGTGTGTCCATGATTATCAATTTTTTAAGGGAAAAAACTCTCAAACTTGGTTGGAGTCATGGAGGCACAGTCACAAACCCTCATTCCACTCATAATGGACACAGACCAGAAATCTGGCCTTTTTGCCATTCTTGCTATAATGCTTATTGTCATGGTTATCATTATTGTCATCATCTTCAATATCATCCAGCCAAAACATATTCAATGAAATAATCAAGGCAAACATAAATCTGGAATTAAAAATCAGAATCAAGGACAAAAGCCTAAAAATCGACACCCAAAAGTATCAACTTAGCTGATGCACTTGCACTTCAAACTTGACTCTGAACTAATTAGATATCATAAAATAAAAAGAGAGACCAGTACACAATACATATTTATATTTTTTTTAAAAAAAAGGAAGATGAGATTGCACGACTCTCACAATAGGAAAAGACAACACAGGGTTCTGAAAACATGCAAAGAGATTTGTCATAAAGCATTTTATTTAGTGGATTGTGAGTAATCTGAAAATTGTGGTGTATGGATCACTGCCAACTAGTGAGCTGTTTGTTATCAGTCAGTCTGTGATGAGATTAGGTGCTTGTGCCAAATGTAAATTAACTATGCCACTAAGCAAACCATTTAGATCAGCTGACTTTTTTTCTCCAGAGCATTATTTCATTGAGAAAGGCAGCAGTGTGCTGATTTACATTCTGGCAGAAACTCTTAAACTTGTCTTAGAGTGGCACTGATCTAAAAGGAAATGTCTTCCATTCTTTTATAACAGATGCTATTAAAATTAAAAAGCTACAGAAGTCCAAGCTGAGAATACAGTAGACTTGCACCCAGATAATTTGATTTCTTCACACTAAGACTTACACATTTGTCCTCCCAAGGCTCAGACAGGACTCATCATGAGAATCCTTCAATCCTGAAAGACTTGGGGAATCACAAGGGCCCTTTGTTTATATGTTTATTTGGTACCCAGCATTGAAACCAGAGGCACTTAACCACTGGGCCACATCCTAGATATATAAATTTAGAGATAGTGCCTCACTAAGTTCCCGAGGCTGGCTTTGAGCTTGTGATCCTCCTGCCTCAGTCTCCCAAGCCACTGGGATTACACGCATGCGCCACTGCACCTTTAATTTGGGGCAGCTTGAGTAACCTCTTGGCTTGGAAATACCTTTTCCTGGAAAAATAGCCTGTCCTGCCTACACCACACTGCTACGAGTATGTACATGACCAGCCATCTCTTGGTTCTCAAGCAACAGAAACTAAAGTATAAAAGGTCATCCCAGGCTTTTCATACCTCAATGTCTTTGCACACTGTTCCCCCACACCTGGAATACTATCTTTCCAACTCAGCACTCTTCACTTGAAAATTCCTATTCATCCTTCATGATCTCACATAGAAATCATTTTTCCATTGTCATGCAATATCATTGCATGCCGTTTATATTTCTGGGGTAATATTTGCAGCCTGTGTTGTAAAGTATGTGTTTGTCTACTTCCCTAACTATTGAACCCCTCAAGAGCAAGGTGTCACATTCGTTTTTGTCTCCTCAGTGCGAAACAAAATGTATGCTCCCTAGTAAGTGCTCAAATAATGTCATTGAGTGAATATATGCACAAAATGACCTATTTCACCTAGCATAGTAAGACTTTAGGTAATTTTGGGCTGGGGTTGTGGCTCAGCAGTACACCACTTGCTTCACATGTGTAAGACCATGGGTTCAATCCTCAGTACCACATAAAAATAAATAAACAAAATAAAGACATTGTGTCCATGTATAGCTAAAAAATATTTTAAAAAAGAATTTAGATAAGTTTTCCTGAAGGAATAAAAATAGGTGTGTCTTGATGACATCTTGTTCAAGTGTACAAAAGGGCACATGAATTTATCTAAGCACATTCATATTGCTGAAACTATTAAGCCTCAGGTTTTAACACTTGGATGGGGAATAAAATTATTTGGACAATTTGTAAGCAGAGACTTGAAAAAAATTTTCAAAAGAACTTTAAAACATTTGGTCAAGATTTATAAAATCTAACAATAATTGCTTACCTAATCATTTTCCAGAAATAGCACTAGATATTTCTAGGGATTTCTAACTGTACTTATATCTTGCTGTGAAACAAATTATCCCAAGACTTAGTGGCTTAAAATAAGCTTTTATTATCTCACAATTTCTGTGGGTTAGAAATTCTGGAGTGGCTTAGCTGGGTGGTTCTGGCTCAGGGTCTCTCATATTGTTGTGGTTAGGCTATTGGGAGGGGCTGTGATCATCTGAAGGCTCCACTGGGCTGTAGGATCCACTTCCAAAATGGCTTTTGGCAGGATCTCCCACTCAAGTGAAAGATTCAAAAGAATGAACAAAGAAGATGTAGTGCCTTTTATTATCTAGTCTTCAAAGCCAACACTGTCACTTCTACTTTATTCTAATAATTAGAAGCAGTCACCAAGTTCAGTCTGTGTTTAAGGGGAAAAGAATTAGCATCCACCCTTTTGAGGGAGCTATTGCAGGATTTGTGAACCTGTTTTTTAAACTGCCACATAAACTATTAGTTAGAAATATTCAGGGTGCATAAGCTTGAATTTAAAAAGATTCTCTTTGTAGACTACATATAATTGGTTACCTAGTACACATGAACACAACCACCTGTAATTAAACTGTTTAAATGTGAAATCATTGATCTCCAGCATGCTACAGAACTTCCCTTCTACAAAATATGCCTCTCACTGACAGAGACAGAACAGGAATATATTAGGACTCAATAAATATTTGTCAAATTGAAGAGTTGTGGTAGATTCCAGTCCAGGCCCAGGCAGCCAAGATATGCTATTGCTCCTTCAGAACTCCCTTGCTAAAGAAAAGAAATGAGAATTTATTCACTCTCACCAGGCAAATAGAATAATAAATGTGTGTGGCAGGTATCAGATTTACAAACAACTTCTATTTCTTACCACCAAAGTAAAGTGGTGTTTTTGGTAGAGAGAATTGGAATCCTCATTGCAGATAGTTCATGGACATAAATGAAGCCAAACCCTAGTATAGAACAACTTTCATGACAGTTTCCAAAATATTTGAGCTCACCTTTTTTGATATGTCTAGAACCTCTGCATGATTACACCCCCAAAAGGTAAGAAAATCCATGTAAAATGATTATGCTCATTCCATAGCAGTTTGTTTAGAGCCAAGTCCAACGTATCCACTCAGTGAATATTCCAGAGGGACAAAGTTGATCTCAGACAAAACAGTATCATAGGACCATTCCAAATGGGGAGGTCAAGTGGGGGATGGTGGTAGATAGGATATGGAAGAGGAGAGGGAGACATCTAAGAAGGCCCAGCCACATCACTTCCTACTTTTGTGATCTTGGGCAAATTTCTTTTCTTCTCTGAGATTTGGTGGACTTATTGTCTTATTCCTTATTTGGAATAAGACAGGATTTGCATGTTTATAGTTGAGAATAGTTTTCCATTATTAATATTATTAGTTATTTATTTACTTATTAATTTATTTTATTTGTTCTTATTAGTTATACATGATAGCAGAATCCATTTTGACACTTTGAAGGTAAATGAATGGAGCTGGAGTTATTTATATTTATAATTTATAGCATTATAAAATAGCACTCATGGGTTCAGAATCAGATAAAGAAAATAATGAAGTATAGACAATCTATAGTTTTCAGTTTGCATAACTTTTTTCTAAAAGATATTATTTGAGATTCAAGAAGAAACAATCATTTCATAAAATGTTAAGAGTTTTCTGAGCTGTTATCAAGGGACATATGAAGGTTAATATACATTTAACCAAAGAGTAAGTGGTGTTGGGTGAAACTGAAAGTCTTTGTTCTTTTCTAGGACATAGTAGGTAGTACCACCGTGTTTCCAACTTGTATTGGTCTATCTTGGATCTGGAACTCATGGATAGATTCACATACCTTCATTCCAACTGAAAAACTAAAGATTATAGGAGATAGGCCATTTCCATGGAATTTTAACTAACTTCCTTCAAAGGCAAAAGAAATCCAAAAATGTTTCTCTTTAGCAGGAATTCAAACCAAATGAAACATTAGCTCAGTTCAAGTTCAGATAAAGGCATGTTTTCATGTTCTAGTTCATTAGAAAATATATAGGTTTGATTCTGGTTTGAACAAGTTTGCTAGGAGATTTATATATATATATATATATATATATATATATATATATATATATATATAGAGAGAGAGAGAGAGAGAGAGAGAGAGAGAGAGAGAGTCCAATTTATGGTTCAGTTAATATCTTTGTTCAGTTTGACTTGAGATTTAGTAAATTGATGCTATGTGGCCTGTAATTTGCATCATAATTTCCTTCCTTAGTTCATAGTCCTTAAATTGTGTCTTTCCTATTCTACCCTATGAATAAATCAGAATCCTTCTACTTTAATTCCTTCAAGTTCAATCCCTACTCCTGCCAATATTGAGTTTGCCCCATTGAAGTTCATAACCCACTTCAATCTAATGTATGAAATATGATATGTCATGAGCTTTGTAATGTTGTGAACAACCAATAAAAAAAAATTGAATTAAGAAGGGATTTGGTTGTCCATATAATATTCCTGTAAGGAGATCATTCTCACTGAGCAGAGCTGATGGACTCTTGGAACCCAAGTCAGATTAGCCATATCTGTCTTTAAATAGGCCAGGGAATTGTAGTAAGCAGATAAAATCTGAACCCAGGATAGTCCAATGGGATACTTGAAGAAAATTTGTGTAGTGCCACATTTTGATTAACACAGGACTTGGCGTTAAGATAGGCAAAAAGCCTTGCTTCAGAACTGAAGGAAGACATTTCTAGTGTATGTCTCCATTTTCATTTTAGCCTTTAAAGTGTTAATTTTTCCTTCTGTAATTTTTCTACC